AAGTATCACTTTTCTAAACAAACAAACAAATAAAAAAAAATGGTTTACTTTTTTTTTTTTCCCTAGAAGTATAGACATTTCAAAGAATTTAAAAGAAAGTAAAACCTAATGAAAGCCAAACATAGTTTTCCTGACAGGTTCAAGTCCCATGTCCACTGAAGACAGACAAAATAAGCTACCTAGATTCAGAATGAAATTGAAGTGATGAATTTACACCTTTTATCTAACAGTCAGTACTGACTGTACCTTCATGTGTTGCTAGAGAGGGGATGACCAAGCTTGTAAACTTGCTAATCAGGATGTTGTGTTAGGCAGTACCGTGTCTGTGTTGAATCAGTATCACAAATGATGCATTCTGTGGGCTACTTAGGAGTGGTTTGGGGAAAAAAAAAAAAGAAAAAAAAAAAAAACCAACAAAGGCATCTGATTGCTTTTAGTGCTAATGGTACATTTATGCCAAACCATAAATCTGTTTTGTCTGACATTCTTCTTAGACATGAGTACCTCATACTACTACAAGCTCTAGAAATGTTTTCATGGATGTTTTATAATTTAAACAAGTTAGTCTCCAAAACTGTGTGTTGTTTATTGCTTTTCAGCTCATAAGAAAGAGTTTAGGGAAATACTAAAAAAATTTTAAATCTGAATTCAACATCCTGCAAAAATTAACACCAGAAAGTTCTGTAAAAAATCGTGCCAGTACTGATTATTTTCAGTTGATAAAGATCATTCATTTACTCAAAATAAATAGACACTTAGTGAATGTTTAATTATCTGCCTTTTAATTTTAACTTTTTTTTTTTTTCTCCTATTTTTGCCATCCTCTTTCAGCATTAATATGCAAAACAGCAGATGGGTTTTTTTATGAGATAAGTACAAAAATAGTGGCTTGGGAAATCAATTTATAGGCACTCTCAGAGGTATAATAGTCAGCCCTATAGATATCACCAAAAATCTATGAAAGGAATTAAAAAGGCTATTGTAGCTAGTTTCATTGAAGAGGAGAGTATGTCAAAGAGAAGTCAAAGAACAACAGTCCATTAATACTGAGTTTACTGTGACCTTGACCTACTCAATGTTCATACTTTGTGGAAAGTTCTTATGATTATTTTGTTTTAATAATCATAAAATAAATAAATAGTTATTTTTCAGGATAATGTATAACAACAGAAATTTCATGTGCACAAAATTATAAAATTAGTAATACCCATCTGAGGTGTTCGGACTGAATTTGAGACTTCAGTGTTCACCTATCATTGCTGGAATACTTGATCATTTGGATGGCAATGACCTAAGGGTAAAATAACATTTAGAGTTGTACTTCTGCTATTTGAATATTGGCGTCAGTCAGACAGTCTAGGAAGTCTAGTCAACTAAAGAAGAAAAGTATTCGACTCATCTCCGGTGATCTTCATTGTGTTATGACTAGGTCAAATAATAAAAAATACATGTAAAGTAAATGTAGGTCTTGAGCTGTTAGATAAAACTGAATCAAATCAAAAGCTTTTGCTATGCATTTCAAAACAGGAGAGACGAGGTATGCCTTTATTGGTTTTGCTAACAGAAGCAGAACATACATAGAAATGGCCAAAGTCTCCAGAGAGACTTTGGTAAAGGACTTGTATGTGACAGTCCCAACCTCCCAGTTATAAGTGTATATGATATCAGGTCTAAATAATGGGTTCTGATTGGTATTGTTTTGGTTTTTGAAGACTTTGAGCAGCTGTTCACACATTTCAACATAACTTGTGAAAGTTGTTCAGGAACACAAGGTAAAAATTATTTTGAGAAAGAAAGCAAGGTCAGAGAAGGATGGAAAGAAATAAAAACCTTAATCTCAAGATATTGTAGATGTCTCTGCAGTCAGTGATACTGGAGCATTTTAATGTTTTACCAGATTCCAAATGGAATCTATCTTAGAATGAGCAAACCTCAAGTAATGATTTATTTATGTGCAAGGCCTCTTAAGAGCAAGGTGTCTAAAAAAAATTGTCCTGTTTACTCAAGGTTGTTGGCAGGAGTACTATCTATGAGATACTGCTTCCTTCATTTCAGCAAGGAATAGAAAGAACCTTGTGGACGTAAACTCAGCCAGTAAGGACAATTTAGTGATAAGCTTTGTTAACTTCTACTGCCAAATTTTCCATAAAAGAAAAATCCCAGAACTTGCTTCACAGACTTAGTCTCCTGTAAAACATCCTAGGGATACGTTATCTACATAAGACTAGTGTAGCAAAAGCGACTCAATTGTTTTATACTCCTCTCAACATATGAAATCTCAAGCATTCATATTTTCATCTCCATCCTTATGTGAGGGGGTAGACTTAGTCCATCCTTCTTTTCCAATTAGCAGTTTTGTTCTACTGCCATTTGCAAAATAATACATGATTTAAAAGATTTTTTTAAAAAATGCATTTACTGTATTTAACTTGACAGAGTGAATACTACTACAGGAGCATCAGACTAACTAATCTGGTGGTTGAGAGTGTTATAGATTTGACTTATTTTCTTACCACAGACTCTACTGCTCACATTATTAGTGCAGCTGGCTCAGAAACAGTCTTAGATTAAGAGTTCTACATGTCAGCAGTTTCTGCATCAATTTGTATTAAGATAGTTTTGACTTGCCAGCAGATCAGACCAAGTTCATCTAGAGCAAAAATGCTTGTAAGAACTACTCTAAATCAATGGATGAATATGTTGGCTGATTCCTGAGGGAAATAAACACTTTTTACACTCCAGGCAAAAACTATGGTTTGCAGGCATATTCTAAACGACAGTTACATGATGTTTACAAATTATTACTTTGTATTTACTTATCATCATCACAAAAGTATATAATGAGACAGTCATTATTCTGCACATGGGAAAACAGTTTATAGGGAGTATCATAGAAAAGAGGGCTGGAAGAGCTTTAAAGGAATATCTAGTTCATTATTTTGCCCAAAGATAGAATCATCTCTATCAAACCTGTTTTTCTAAACTGTAACATCAAGCAAACCCTATGCTGCCTTTGCAAGGCTAATAGTCAAGTTTGTTATTCTGTTCATTTAGGTAGTATTTTCTACTTCATTTCTGTGTATTAGGTTCATTCACCAATAGTTTACTTGTTAATTTTATTTCTCTACCTGATGCAGTCATCTGTAGACAGATTGTCCTAGTAATGTATTAATGTGCCATTGCCATGAAGGCATCTGGGCTGGCTTTAAATGAGTAGTTTAGCTGCTTTGTTGTTTTCATTGCTGTGACAACAGAATTCCCAACCTTTTGCACCTTAACTATACTACTGTTGTATATACAGCTTAACACAGGTTATGATATTTTTAACTCTTGTTTGGTGAAGGACCAGTATTAGATAGTTTTCCCGTAAGCAAGTACTTATTTAACACTTGAAACACCAAAAGTAGAGGTTGGTACATATAAATTATGTAAAGTTTTAAAAGGGACTCTCCATTGAATGTCATCACTGATATGTGAAAGAATAAACTCGCCAAGATAGATTTAATATTATTTGCTGATGTGGTATAAATTGTGCTGTCTGGATGAAAAGTTACTGATTTAAAATACAACAAAAATTGTTTAAGAAAATAATTTATCATTTCCAAATGGTATCTCCCTTGAATTTTTGGGGTTTTTTTTCCACATTATACTTTGTATCTACACCTGGTATATCCTGATACTCTTTTTCTTTTTCCTTTTTCTTTCTTTCTTTCTTTTTTTTTTTTTTTTTTATTCTCAAGAAGCAAAAAGAAGATAATTCAACAAGGAACTAGGAAAATGTATATTTAAAAAATCCCAATGACACTCAAGCAAAATTTTTTAACCTTTATATCTGTTGGAAAAGCCATTGTATGTTTATTGAAGAGAAATAACAATTTAAATAAGTTTTGTAAATAAAATTTGGATTAATTTTATCCCTTTCAGCTTCACTATGATTTTTCTGTTTGAGATCAGAGCTCAAATGTTTATGCTTCTAAAGGCAGAACTAAGAGTAATAGTACTTGTACCTAAATTGACTTTTGTAAGCCCCAGCCAATGTTGTATATTGATACTAAAACTTTTGGTAACATCAGTGACCTGTCTTTTGATGTTGCTGCAGTGTTGTTGCTGAGCTTTTCTTTACTCTTGCATTTAATGCAGCCCAGGATTTTAACTTGGAAAGTTTCAGAGCTGAGTTGAAAATTGCCTCCATTATTTCACTCATTTCCCCAAACCCATTAATTTAAATAAGAAGGACCATCAAATATTGCAAAACTTTCATAAAATGGAATGTTAAATATTATTAAATGATAGTTTATCTTTCAGTTACTGTATTCAAGTGATATTTATCTGTGACACTGAACATTTGTGTCAAGTTGCAATTAGTCTTGATCACGCCTGGCCAAGCAGTCTCAAATATAACCAGAAAACTTAAGATGCCCTGTCTTAGTGAAACCTTCATCTTCTTTTGTAAACAGAAACTATATAACTCAAAATATTAATTCAAGAATATTTTGTATATGCATTATCAGTATTTAAGGCTCTTTGTATTCAAATATTCACATGAAATGAAATATGGAATACAAGTAATATGCAGTGCTTTTAATTAATATAAAGTTGCCTTTTGTAAACAATAACATTGTGTGGGTTTCTAACTGCTGGCTAAGCCTGAATACTTGTTTCCCCTTTTGTGCCCCCCACAGTGAAAGTGCTAATATGACCCAAACAATGATAAACTAAGAAAGATCCCAAATATCTTTAAAAAAAGGAAAAAAGTACTCGAAATGACTGTAAACATATTCACAGCCAGGAATATTTCTTACCCATGCGTTTCATGAAAATATCAATATCTCTCTAATACAAGCACTTTAACCTCTGTAACAGCAGGTAAAACAGGTAACAAATGTTTGTATTTTCAGAAACTAACTTGCATGCAGTAAGATTTATTTAAGGGAATAGCACTTCCCTTTGGAAATCAATCATAGTATTTTATCTTATACCATTGCTTTTCTTCTACTCACCGCAATGAGTAATGTATAGACAAATGTATGCAGAAGCAGTCTGTGTCTCTCATTCTCATTTGCCTTGCTGTTGCTCTCCTATTAGCTGTCGCTATGTAGTCCTCTAGACACAGTGTGGCAGGAACTCTGCTACCTTGACAGTAGGTACAGACCCAGTTTTAGCACTTGCAGTCTGCCTCACGTTTGTAACACCCTCGCTCCTTCCGGTCATTTGTTCCAGGGGAGGAATGACACCAGCATTTCTGAGCTGTTCTTGTGTTTTCTCCCAGAACACTCGGGGAAAGCAGACTTCGTGATCTCCATGCTAACTACCAGCCTGCCTGCTGCCAGTTCTCCCTACTTCTGCCAGTGATGACATTCAGCTTGCTCCTCCACACAGGATACAGCACTGATTCCTCATTATGTAAGGCAGTCTAGGTCAAGTGTAGGAGAGAGACTGCTGGCCTGAACAAGCTAGTGGATTGCTCCCCCAGCTTCATGCTTCATGGGGTCTGAAAGCTGGATCCTGATCTTTGCTACATCTTCTCAGGTAAACGGTTTTGCATGATTTAAATGGTTACTGTGTTCTTTTTCTATGCAGACAGCTGTCAGCCATGCTGTGAATTGCAGAGAGAATTTGCTAGGTGAAAACAGCTCTGTCAGCATGATTGAATTAACAGAGTAGTAGTTCTAAGCATCTCAGCTTTAAGACACTTTATAAATAAATAAATCATAAATTGGGCTCGTTTAACAAACATATTTTCTAACCATATGGGGATTATTGTTAATTTGGCTGATTAAGCAGTGAATTAAACCCATTTGCTTGGAGGTGGTGTGGGAAAGCATTATTGGATATAGCTATTAGCTCTGAGAGGTTTACTGCAGTTCCTGGCTGTTGCATTGTTTTAGCCTGGCAAATTACAAATACGCTGCTTCTATTAAACAAAAAAAGTAGGGGGGAAAAAGGTATGTAATTCTTTTGCACTCTTATGTTTTGAAGTGGCGACTAAATCGAATATGTTTTTTGCTATATACTGCATAAATGCATGACTCTATATGCTTCTGAAATTTTTAAAGTGAATACTGCAGGTAAAATTACATTTGGTGGTTGCTCTGCAGAATGCCTGAACAGTGCCTATTGGCTAGATTTATTTTAGAGGATAGCTTTTTTTTCATGCACCATGTAGAATTCAAAGATTTATATTTTTTTTTATACTTTCACCCTGATGAAAATCAGTTTGTAAGAAAACATAGAACAGGTTTGTCCTTAAAAGGATTACACGTACTGAGTACTGTCAGGTGCTGGAACGTCTGATTATACTGGAATGCAGCAGAAGTGGCACTGGAAAGTAACAGCATATCACTGATACTGCAGCATCATGTAGAGAATTTCAAGCAGGCTAGCTTGCTTGCTAGAGACAATTACAACACTGAAAGAATTGAAACTATTTTTATGGATTTCAGAGATTCATTAGGAAACTCTTGTTTCTGTACAGTACCTTGGACAGTAACTTTTTTCTTTGGTAGTACTGCAGCCTCTGCTCCATGGGAGTTAGCAATATGCAAAAATTAAATAATACAAATTTAAGACACATAAATGAATTCCAAAATACAGGTGAATTTATAGTAAAAAATCGTGAGAAAACCTTTGGTTGGCATTATGTCAAGGAGTTATATTTCATGGCTTATTATCAAGATTTTATCTAATGTATAGCCTTAAAAATTCTTATGATTGTATTAAGTTCTGCTAATGAGTGTGAAACCAGAAAATTAAAAGTTAAAAATTACTGACAGCATGTCATTTATAGAATTTTCATGTCTGATAGGCTCACTCTAGGAGTAAATACCAAAGTCCCTTTCTTAAATAAAAATAAGATTGAATATTAATAGAAGATTATGTATTAATATCATGTTGAACTAATTTTGATGGCAAGAGTAGAAGCCCTTTAAATGGGTTCCCCTCCACTCCCCCCTGCCCTCCCCCAAAATTAGTGGTTCTCCACACTATTCTAGAAATAACTGATAGAATTTAATTTCAACACTTGTTTGTAAGTGAGGTGAATTGCTTTATCATTTTACTATCATCTTTAAAAGCTATCTTCCTCTGTAAAAGAGCTGCCAAGCAGTCAGGTGTCTCTTCAGGGTGGTCTTACCTTACCAGTTACTAGATTACTAATGACAGTCATGTAGATCTATGCCCTGATTGAGTAGAAATACCAAGCTGGTGCCTTCATCAATTACACTGTGAAAGAAGTTAGGTTCAAGAAAATGTAATCAATTTTTGGTATCTTGAAAACACCTCTGTTTCAATACAGTATATTACAGTGTAGAATATTTTATAGATATCATTTTGTGCTTGAAAATGCAGAAGTGTGTCTAGCAAACACACTCTTAAAATAATAGCTTAGTAAAGGAACATAGAACAAAACTGCTAGGTACCACATGTTACTGTAATGGTGTACTTCAGATTCTTTCTTTCTTCTGCCTGAAGAGTTCTAAAATAATAATGCTATTATACATGAGTACAATGTGTTCCATCCCATTTCAAGTGTGGGTGCTTGAGGTATTTTCTTACAGGCTTAAGGAGTATTAATAACCTATCTATTCAGTTAGAAGAAAAAGAAAACCCTTATTGTCTTTAAATGTATGGTGGTTTTCTGAAAGTGTTATTTTTATCTTTTGCGTCATGGTTCAGAGCAGGGCACACACAGTGCTTCTCACCACAGCAAGTTGCAGATGCTTCGGTAGGATACAACCTGTTAGAAAAAGCTGTTTCCTCTGTGTATTTATATATCCTATATTCTGGAATATCACTTTAGGTCTAAGTAATTGGATCTGAGCTGTAAGGTATGTTTTTAACTCCCTACAATGCAAGATATGGGCCATTAGTGGTTGTTGGCTCCTCCTGGTATTTTCCTCTGGTTTACTAGAATTGTCCAGTCCATGGCTCTATCAGTAGCTTGTTTTCAATATTCCGTATATTCCTTTGCATCACAATATGCACCTGGTGTTTTTGACAAACATTCTCTTCACTTTTCTTCAGAGTACTAGAGATTTCTGTCCTGCAAGGGAGTTTCTGTTCTCTCTCCATAGGCATGGAAATGTCACTAAAACTGAGGGGCATGGAAACAGTATCAAAGTGTGTGAATTAGATTATTTTAGAATAATGTGTTTAGCATAAACAATGGTGAGACCAGTTTTGGTAGTACATAATGTTATCAAATTTGAGAAATACATTATAATGACAAGTTTATTGCTAAGACTAGAAACATCTGTGTTTTAGTTTATCTCATGTAATATCTAAAGGTAAGATTGTAATAGTATAATTCACAAACTTTCCAGGTAAGTTTGGACTCACAAAATCAGATCTTTCACTGTCCAGAACTGTGAAATTTTATTTGCATTAAGTACAAAAGAAACATGACAAATGTGACAAAAGTCTGTTGCTGTAGAAATGGGCTGTATCTGTTCTAAAAATACCTATTTAGATCTGACAGGTGTGCTCTGTTCATATGTGAAAAGTTTTTTATTTTTTTATTTAGAGGTCTTCTTCACTTTTCATTGAAACTGGTTGGACACAATCTTCTCTTCAATACTGTTACAGTCCATGTAATTTTTCCAGGTCCTGATTTTCATGATGATGTTGTTCCATCGTTGTTTCCTGTATAGCTCTTCTATGACTGCAGTACAATTGGTTCACAAATTTAGAAACAGAAAAAACCCTTGGACTGTCATATTCACCTGCCTGTCCATGCAGGATCTCAAATGGCACATTGCTCATATACTAGGTTAATTACTCCATCATATGTTTTTTAATTCCCACTACAGTTCAGAGAATTCATTCATAGAATCCTAGAAGGAGATACTGTAAACAATCAAGTGTGATTTCTTAATGTTTTGATAAATAAAATGTACTTCAGATACTATTGTTAAATATGTATATATATCTTAATACTCTTAGTTGTGTATGTAGAACACACTCTTCTGCATTATTTATTGCCATGGCTAAACATCTAAGCTAATTTTAAAGGTTTCTCTAGATAATACAGAGCTATAATGTCTGCAGCACAAATGCTGAAACATTATAGTGACAAAAAGAACTAAATTCTCTTTTTCTTCAGCCGAAGTTCATTATGGGGCCCTTTCAGAAAGGGACACTGCAGAGGATCACCAGAGAAGGACTTCCGGATGAATTCTTTCATGTGCTGAAGAAAACCGGAATTTCCCGGTGCCTGGTGATCACTAAGGGTGGGCACTTTGTGGCACTTGAGTCAATAACTCACTGGGCTATTCTTCACCAGGGCTTTTAAATATTTGCACAGTACTGCTGAAGCAGGGCCAAGAATAAGACTGGTCAAAATTTTTATAAAGGCAAGTGAACCACATATCTTCATTAATGCCAAGTTACCAGCTCTGCAGAATCTGAAGTCTGCAAGACTGCAAACTCAAGGCTGCAACAGAAGTTTGCCTGGCAGCTGTGTCCATGCTGAGCAGGGCGCAGAGGTGCTATCCACTGGACCTGTTTGATGGTTGCTTCTGCCAATGCCCACTAAGGTGGTTGCTCCTTAGGCACTCAGGATCTGAGTAGTTGTGACCATACTTGCAGAAAGAAGTGGTAAAAATTTCCAAATTAAAACCAACGAGTATCCTAGACTTGCTTGGTTTTGAAAATTAATTTATTAGCTATTAGCTGTGTTCAGAGAGTAAAAAAGGTAAAAAGGGTATTTTTGGGGGGAAGAGGGGAGAGAGACCATGGTTGATTGCCTAACTTGCCATTTATTTTAGGATTGGAGTAGCTTTTTTGTTTTCTGCAATTGTGGTGCAATGTATAAGTTTAAAATAGTAAAAATATGCAAATTCAAGGGATTTAGCTCTTTAGCAGTTTGAAAGATGTTGCTATTGTGTTGATAAAGTCTTCTCTCTCAAACCCCATATCAGATGGCAGTCTGGTTAGAGGAGCTACCAGATGAACCTGCTAAGATAACCGCAAACCTTATCAATTTTCCTGACACTGTAAGCTGGTGGAGCTGGACTTGAGCACCTGGTTACACCAGTATGACCGGTGAAATACGAGCCATGGGAAATGCTGCTTAAAAAAAAACCAACAGCCTTTCAGTATTCTGTTAATCATGCTTGGAGAAGTCAGTGGTCATATTAAGCATCCTATATTGAACTTTTGCTGATCCTTAAAGCAGGATGTTTTTGGACTAATGAAAACTGGATATTTTCATAATACATCGAAATTACATTTAATCTGGGGGGAAATTTTGTGTGTTCAGTGTTATGTTCAGGACCAAAACTGTAAGCACCTGAGGTATCTCAAAGATAT